CGCGCAGTCCATTGACAGCGAACATGCCATCGGTCCCTCCCTTGCCTCCCTGTAGTGTCCCCGCCCCACGTCGTCGGCTTCGCAAACGGCATCGCGCAGAGCATCGTCAGTCTCGCGCGTTTCGCTGGCCCCATCATCGGTGGAACGGTACGTAATCCGCATCATACTTCCTGCAGTTGTTCCGCGAAGCGAAGCTAACCATGGTTTCTCATCGCAGCTCTGGTCGACGAGTGTCCAGGATGGTCCCGCGGGATACCCGCTCGGGTTCATCGTCTGCTCCGCCGCGTGCGGCCTTGCCATCATCCACAGCTTCTTCATCCGCTGAGTAAGTGCTTCTTCGACTCTGGATCCTCTTACGATCTTTATGAGCTTCGGATCGCTCCTCCGACTTTCTATGGCCCTCAGTCCTTGTTTTTATCCCTCACTATCGCGACACCTCATGTCTCCATACGGAAGCCCTATGTCTCTACGTACACCGGACGTTTGATACAATACAATCAGTTTGTGGAACGATACCAACCCTTCTACGTTTCTGCGCAAAGGACGGAAAAACAGAAGACTACATGAGGATCGTCGGGGCTACAGGCAGTCAGCTGCAGAAACGCTACACATCACAATCCCACAATGCCCATGCCGGAAGCTCGAGGTGAGAAATACAGTAGTACAGTACGGGGAGGGGGACCAGAAGTTCAGAGTTCGCGTTCTATGTATGCTCGGATGATATGATGGCTGAGTATAGCTATAAATGCGTGGTCGAATAAGGGGAGAGGATTAGATAGGCATTACAGTATAGCGTAGAACGAAATTCAGAACAGAGACAGTCTGTCGAATGCGTCGAGTCCGGGGAGAGACTGGAGAGAACCGAAGTCATCGAGGGGAGCGAGCACCGTCATCGAGGCTGACTGCAAAAATGCCGGACCAATGTCGTCGTCGTCGCCGCCGCCGCCGCCGCATTGCCAAAGGGAACTCTGGTGCTCGTGCTCGTGCTGGCCATCGTCTTCGTCGCCGCCTGAGAGACCCAGAGGAAGTCGCAGAGGATCCAGGCGAGGCGCACGCGGAACCTCCGCCCGGAAGAGAAGGCTCGCGCTAGCACTGGAAACGAAGGCAGCACAGTCGTCAGACACCTGCCGCCTAATTCAGCGTCGCCCAAACCCGCATGTCAAGGCCAGCGCGAACCAAGTGACTTCAGGAAAGCGCAGCACGTACCAAGTTCAAGCCCTCGGCTTCAAGGTGGAATCTGCAGAGGTCAGCAGCGTCGCCGTCAATGTCGAGCCCGTCGCTGCCGCTGCTGCTGAAATTGAGCCCTCCGCCAGTGTGGCCGACGTTGAGCCCGCCTTCTCCGCCGCTGCTGATGTCAACTCCGTCCCCGCCGTTGCCGATGTCACCCACGTCAAAGCCGCCACCAAAGAGGTCGTTCATATCCACGCCGAGCACGCCGTCCGTGTCGAGCTCGCCTCCAAAGAGACCATACGACCACGTCGGCGACTCGGAGTCGTATCCGACACTCGCAGCAGTCGAAGACCCCGAGACAGCAGACGCGAGCTCAGGCGTAAGCGGCCCCGACTCATACGCAGACGCAGACGAGTCCGAGAACGACGCAGCAGCGGAAGACGAGGGCAGCGTCGGCGAAGACGAGCATGCATGTGGCGTCTGCGAGGGTGTCTGATTCTCAGGATTGTCGTCGAACACGGGCGCGACCATCGCATCGAACGTGAAGTCGAAGATGTTGCCCAGCGATGATTGCGCGATGACGGGCATGTCGAACGCATACGCAGGGTCGAACGTGATGTCTGGCTCCGACGAAGGCGCTGCACCCTCCCCGGTCTCACTGGCAGTGGTTGCCGGGTCTGGCTCCCCAGCGAGCGCTTGCTCCAGCTCGAGCTGCAGCTTCTCGATCTCTTCTCGACGCTTCTCCGCATCTCGGAAGGCCTTCTGGAGGCCCTTGCCTTGCAGGTTGATTCCTGTATCGAGGGTGTCCAGGGTAGTCTGGTGAGCGATGTGACAGATGCGCGTAAGTAAACGGAGCTACCTCTCTTCCAGTCGAGACTGCTCGCGCCCCAGTGCCACTTCAGATGGATAGCCAAGCTGTTGGGCAGAGTGAACGTCCTCGGGCACAGCGGACATGCATGCACGCCGGCGACAGGGCCCTTAGGCCTGATTCGTTCGGCTGCTCCGGAAGGAGACGCGGCAGGTGGGTGGGCATCCGGGATGGACAGGAAATCAATGGCGCTTTTCTTCTGCTTCGAAGGGCCCCCCAGTCGCTTGTTGCCTTCCTTCAGTGAGTCGAACATGGCGCACCACGGCGTGGCAGTACCCGGAGAGGGGAAAGGGGGCACGAAGGCTGATTTGCCATGCAGACTATCCAGTCCCGAGACGGACAGAGGGACGCCTGGCAGATGAGGAGACGGAGTATGCGAGCCGAGCATAGGAGCGGTTGCGAAGGGACTCGGGTTTTCTGGATAGACAGCCGAATGAATGGGCGGATATAGCTGGTACGGAGGTGCGTGGTTTGGCGCCGACGATGGACGATCTGTAGGGTGGCTCCCGTTGGGAGGGAGATGTGAGAGATGCGGTATGAGAGACGGGTAGATGGGAGGGGGAGCTCCGAAGTGCATATATCTCGAATGCAGCGACACGTTCTGATGGTTTGCATACGGCGTTTGACCAGGACGATAACACGACGGTGCAGGTTCCACAATCGTCGCTTCACTCTTGCCATCACGATGGAGGGACACCGAGCTAGAACCAGGATATAGAGTCGGCAACGCAGCATTGGAGGACATGGTCGAGTGAGCCGATGTAGCAGGCAGAGACAGAGAGTGCGTATATGAAGGACTCTTTTGTCGACACGAGCTGTCCTCAACGGCGTGAGAGACAGGATCACCAGCTTGCATCGTCTCAAGAGCGCCATGGGCTTCAGGTGGCATATGACGACCCGAGCTGGTCGGTTGGGTGAGGAGACAGTAGAGAGACAGAGAGGCGCGATAGGTCTGTCAGCGCTCGGAGTAGTGGCCTTGAGCGGAGAAGCAGTTTCCTCTGGTGGCACCTCCAACGCCGTGCCGGCTGGTGAACGATTCTCGTCCCCGTGTTCGCGAAGGCGTCGAACGATGCGCATCATGGGAGCAACGTCACGAGTTGACGGAGCAGAGGCAGGAGGAGGAATGACCATCGGCGGCAAGTGATGAGGAACGGCGGCGGGATACGGGGTGAGTTGCGGGAGAGCGCATATAGGAGCTCGTAAAGAGTGCTCTTCGTCGCCGGTGTGGGAGGAATCGGCATCCGCGACTTGCCAAGAGTGGTCAAACATGGGCTGCGAAGCCGTGGCGGGAAACCGAGGAGGACTACTTGAGCGCGAGACCGCATTTACCGTGGTCTTGCGCTCGCCGTCATACATTTGAAAGGGGGACAAATCGACGCGGAAGGAGGAGAGCATGGAGCGTGGGACGTCGGTGGGGATGCTGAACATTGGTTCGTGCTTGCACTTGGCGGACGCGTCCGACGATCTCGACCCAGTCCGGGCGAGCTTCGCAGGTCTCCCCGTCTCCGCCCTGTCCTCAGATGGACCCTTGCGCTTCAAGGACGATCTTGACCTCGTCTGAGAGCGCGTGACGGGGCGCATACAGCCGGTGGAGTCGCGGGCAGCAGGAAGCTCGAGGCGCTTTTCAGTGAGGGCACCGGAGGCGGACATCTTCATGAGCGTCCAGCGACGTGCTCTCATCGACTCTGGGACATGCAAACGGTCAGTAGGTCGAGAGAGACGACGAGCGGAACGGCACTGACGACGTCGAGCAGGTCGAGGTGGTCGAGGTGGCCGTCGGTGGAAAAGACACGGCGATGTCTGGGGAAACTGGAGTGGCTGAGTGAAGGGATCTGGAGATGTGCAGAACCCGTCACAGACAAAAAGTCTGTCATGGGCTGTCGATCATCCCCGCTCACCACTCTGCGGACCCGAGCCATCGTACTTCTCGTGATGCACTTGCCTTCTTTGTCGAAGCTTCTCTCGACGAGCTCTGTCCCGCTCGCCCCCGGCCAGCTTCTCGAGTTGCCGGTGCCCGAACTCTGCGGGGGTCGCGTGCAGAGTCCGCGGTATGAGGATATGATGTCTGGAACCGTGATATTTGCGCGGGGTCTATCGCGGCGACATGAAGAAACGACTATGTCGTGATATCAAAGAAAAGTTCGTCGTCTTCTGGAGCTCGTGTACTTGAAGTGCTGTCCCGAGAAAAACGGAAGGCGATATGCGTCGGGAGAGCATGACGGAAGAGGGACAGGCGTCGCGGTCGTGCAGGGAAGAGTCGCTCAGCATCGTCAGTGTCACGACGGTCCTTTGCCGGCAGTTCCAGATCCTGCGTCCACACCCGTCGACGCACCAGACGTAGAGCTTCCCGCCGCCTTCTCCTGCCGCTCGATTCTCGCGCGCCCTGAGTCGCGTCAAGGCGGTCAGGTTGACACATCATGTCATAAAATACAGACAGAGAGAGAGACACGTACAGTCCAGCTTCTCCGACGGCCGCTGTCCATAAGCTTCCTGCTGCGCTCTCCTCTCGTTGATCGTCTTCTTTGCGAAGTACAAGCTCACTCCCGCCGCGGCGATCAGGCTACCCCAACCCAACATCTATCCCGACACCACATTAGGTGAACTTCCGCGTATGTTTGAGGTTATGCCTGACTTGCCATGCTTTGTGGTGTGTTCATCCTCGCGCTCAGTGGTAGTCGACGCCGCAGAACGAAGCGAAGGTCAAGGCAGGCCGAGGCGCAGTGTCAGGTTGCAAGAGCGCGCGGCGCTCCTCGCGAAGTCGCGCGAAGTACAGCAGATCTAGACGCCTGCAGACTTCCACTGCTGCAAGTTCTACTTAGCAAGCTTCCCCGTACCTTCGTCTTGGTACATAATGTGTGCTAGCTCTTGTGTGGCACACACCTCATTGTGTAATGTATAACCTGCCGAGAAGAGAATTTGAGCTCTCTGAGGCAAGAAAAAAACACGATTGGGATCAACTGCTTAGCAACTCCTAGTTTCGATCTAGGGACTTCAGGGTTACATGACATATGAGCCCTGCACGCTTCCACTGCGTCAAGTTGCTTTAACTTCATGTGCCACACAATAAATATGACCATCTTCACGCCACTCCTGTCAGGTCCTCCCTAGGCTCATGGCGCCGCTACTCCGACCGCAAAAGAACTTGCAACTTTGGATCCCACTACTTATACGCAGGCTGGTAGGTCCAGACGAGCCGCCTTGTGTGCCGCCATTCCCTCGGCAGCGCTCGAGGCTGAGTACTCTATACCTGCCTATCCGTCTCCGGCGGTATGTGTGCAAAGTAGCAAGAAGACGAAGACGTGCAGTAACGTAAGTCCACTCACTCACTTGAGCTCGAGATTGTCCAGCCCGTGCCGGTTCGTCTCGACCGAGATATGATCATGACAGACTCAGAGGACCGCGTCGACAGCCGTGCGATCCCACATCCCACCATGTGTCGACAGGCCCTGGCGAACCTGCAAACTGACACCGACGATAGGTCAGTATTTGCAGATCCATACGCTCTACTACGTGCTGACGCCTATCGCGCTCCGACTCGGAGGATGCTCAGGACCAAGTGCGGGTAGTGTGCACGCGAATACAGCACCTCCTGTCAGTCTCACCCAACCTCCAGTTCGTGTGCGTACCCTCTAAGACTATCGCGTTCCGTATCAGTGTTCAGTACCAAATGTGCTTCCCTGCGCAGATTGTCACTCAGCGTCCAAGTCGACAAGTTCGCAGTCGCTGCCTCATGTCTTATCGAGACCCAGAAGCTTGCTCGCCCAGGCCCATATACAGTGGTAAGTCTGCTGGTTCCCATGCTCTGGCTCTGCAACCGCTCTGGAGAGTGCACGCCGCAAAACCGTGGCGCCGTCAACAGAGTCGTTCAGGCCGTACCCAGTGACTCGGAGCAGCACTGTACTAACGGCGAGGAGCGCGCGATGCCGAAGGCGTTGCGACGGCTCATCTGTGAACTCCAATCTGACAACCTGATACGCAGTCCATGCGACTGTGGCCTGCGGTCAGTGCGACGAAGCAGGTGGGCGAACGGGAGCTCCACTCAAATCTCACCCATGCCGTCCTATCGAGCTGACCGCAGCTTCTCGCAGACCAATTTGAGGCCTGAGATCTCCTGCAGCTGGCCCTTGCCGCTCAACGTCCGAGAAGATCTTCGCGCGGCGCATCGACACCTTGGCCATTCAGAACAATTGAATACCGAGTCGCAAGCTCCCCGACCAAGCTCCTTCAGGCTTACTTCGACTCACTGATTGAACTGAGCGGGCTGAAAGGAGCGAGCGGCAGGGATCCTCGTGTGACATCCCCATCGTTCGTTCCCAAGCGGTCCGGTCCGGTCCCCCAGGACCAGTGGGCCGCCCCCATGCGGTGGGGTTAAGTCGCCCTGCTGACCATCCCAGCTGCTGGGAGCGGACTGGCGCCACCCCGTCATGCAACGGCAGTGGAACGGTGAACCAAACTTGAACCGCTCTTTGTTACGTCTAGGGTCTAGCACTGATGCCGTCGCAGAGGCGGGGAGGCACATGGTGCCCTCGAAGGCTCGACGACCTCGGTAGCTTGTCCCTCTCTCCATTCACACGACATGCCGCTCAAGGTGCGGTGGTGCATGGACTCGGCGGAAGTGCGAGTCTATGTGAGCGCCCTCGCCCACGTAGTACGTAGTCGAGATTCCAGAAGTCCTATGTACATAGTCAGGGCGCGCTGGCTCCAATCTGTCACCAGTGATCATGGCGTTCTCGCGGTTAAATATTTTGCTCCCTGTCCGAACCCCGGTGAAGGAGGTCGGCGGGACTAGTACTGAGTGGCGGGTGGCAACACAGTCAGCGCGGAGCCATAGGCAATTGCACGGGGATCTTCCTTGCCACATGCTGCGACTGCCAGTGGCCATCTCGGTCTCGCGGTGGTGGCTTTCAATGCCCGAAGTCGGGAGGAGTGAAACACCTGCTCTGTCTGGTGGCATTGGCAGCGGCCCGCGCACCACTCAACCGGAGATTCCGCACCACAGCATGAGGATAAGAACATTCCGACTCTGGGAAGGTTTGAGTTTGTGAGGTTCTGGTATTATTGCCAACGAGCAGCAGTAGAGGTAAGGTTCCGTGCAATCCGAGTCCTGGATGATGTACATCTCGCGCCGAGCAATGCAGATACTGATAGTGTGCCGTATGCGAACTATGAGTTTGAGGCGCGTGCGAGGGAGGTGGGTGGGGAAGGGGTCCGGTACATGCGTCATGTATGATGGTAGGGGTCGTGGGCAGTCATAATATACACTAGCAAAGAAAACACCAATAGGAGGCTCCGAAGCAATAAGGACGTACACGAAGTTATAGAAGAGCAGCAGCCCACGCCCGACGACGGCGCCAACCTGAACATTTAGCTATCGTTACATGTGCGCGTTCCGCGTCCGCACGTTCGTCCGCGACCGTGACGTTACCGTAAATGAGACATAATGAAGACGCAAGCCCGCGAGTGGATGATGATGATAGGAGAGGGAGTAGAGGGAGGGTGAAGGAGGCCCAACGAGTGGGCGAAGGGACTCAGACCTTGATGCCCGGATCCGAGCTCTTTTCGTCGTAGTCCTCGTGGCGGACCTCCACGGCCTGGGTTCCAGCCTGGTGGAGCTTGTCGAGGTCCTCGCCGTCGAAGAGCGCGGCGGTCTCCTCGAGCGTCCGGTTCTTCGTCTCGACGACGAAGAAGTACAGGAAGACGGTCTCGAACGCGAGCCAGCAGCAGTACACGATCTACACGCGCAACGGAAGAGGGACGGGATCGTCGTCAGTACTGAATGCAGTGCGAAGGTTCGCCAAGACTCAATAGACACTCACGTAGTATTTCCAGCCAATGGCCTTCAGCGCGATCGGGTTGACGTACTGATTGAAGATCAGCGCGACGGAGATCGTGAAGTTGAACACGTTAAAGCCCTTCGCACGGAGCGAGTACGGCAGAATCTCGAGCGTGTACGACACGATGAGTGGCGTGAACGCAAGACTGTGTGGACATGTCAGCAACCTGTCTGCAATGCATGGTGACGGTGGAGGAGGCACTCACTCGTAGAACGCGTAGAAGAGGAAGATGAAGGCGATGACGGCGTGTGCTGCGGACGTTGTACCGTGGATGGCGTATTGTGCGGAGCAGATCGTCTGGAGAGTGAAGAAGAGCGTCATGCCGGCAGCCGAGGTAAGGAACAGGAACCGGCGGCCCCAGCGGTCGACCTGGAAGGACGCGAAGACGGCCCAGAACAGATTCCAGATGGCGAGTATACCAGTGATGAGGAGCTGAATGCTGTTGTCTGTGATGCCGATCGTGTCGAACACCTGGTTAAGGTAGTACGACACGAGACCGTTGCCAGACCACTGCGAGAACCAGGCAATGGCGACGATGATGCCCATCCGCTTGCGGTTGCCACGGGTGGTGACAAGAGCCTTCCAACCAACGTTCTTTTTGGCTGCGTCGGACACGGTACGTCGTTAGCTTATGTGACTGGGAAGCGGCGGACAAGTATCCTCACCCTCCTTATCCAAACGGATAGCGGCCTTAATCTCCTCGAACTCGTACATGACGAGAGGGTCGGTCTCGTCACCGTCCGCGTGGTAGTACGCAAGCGTGCTTAGAGCCTTGGCTTCTTTGCCCTTGCTCACCAAGTAACGGGGCGACTCGGGGACGAACCAGATGAGGAAGAATTGGAGGAACGAAGGAATGGCCTGCAGGACGGACGGAATACGCCATGACCAATCACTCTGAATCCTCTCAGTTCCGAACGCGGTCCAAGATGCGCTAGAAGAACGTTCAATATATCAGTATGTATACTCCTTCTACTGGCTGGATAGCTGGTAACGTACACAATGTTACCGGAGTACCAAAGGGTGTTGTACAGGGAACTCAGTTGCGGCCGGTGGACGGGATACGCAACCTCCGTGACCAACATGGGAGCGGCATTCGCTATAGACAGATGATCTCGTGAGGAAGGTCCGCGTCACATGGAGGGGAGGGACTCACACGCAATACTCAAGCCGAAACCGAGAAGGAAACTTCAATGGCGTATCAGCATGAGAGGCAGTGTCAGCATCCGAACAGGAACATACCGAGCGCCAATGAACTGGTTGATATTCTGGCAAGCGGTTTGAAGGGCGGCACCGGCCAACATGCAGACTGCACCGATCCAGATGGAGGGCCGACGGCCGATACCGTCGGAAAGGTAGGGAGCGAAGGGGTAGCCGGCGAGGGAGCCAATGTTCTTGTGTTTGGATGAGCTCCCGAAGTGGGCCGATAGGGTATAGTACTCGAGCTCACCTGAATAGCGTTCAACAGACCGAGGGTACCTCCCTGTGGACTGTTGAAGAAGGCTTTCCATTGATCCATGGATTGCAGACTGTTCATCAAACTGCCGTCGAAGCCGTTCGTCGAGGACGTGATGAGACTGGATACAAACCATGGTCAGTTCCGGACGACTGTCAAGGCCAGCCAAGAACTCACAGAAGAACGAGCCATGCGTTAAGTATGATGATCCTGCGGGAGCATTATGGTGAGCTCTCGTCGTCTCGATCAGTGGTGGCGGTCAAGGACGCACCTCCTGTTGCTGTACCACTTCCTGTTGGGGTCCACGAGGTGCATGAAGCCCTCGTTATGACCAGAACCGGTAGCAACAGCACCGACGGCCATGATGAGCTGGCGAGATAGACTTGGTGTCGGGACGAGGGTAGAGCTGGGAGAAGCTGGCGAAAAGAAGTAACGAGCGTGGGGGCTTTATACTAGTTGAGACGCGAACACGGGGAAGGAGTGGCCAGGTGACCGCCAGGACGGTCGACGTCGGTGGTTTCTCCAGAGATTCTCCAGTTTCCCCGTGGGTTTGATTGCCCCGCATCCGAATCGCGGATCTCATTGGTCGGCGCGGTAGGCGAGATCTGTCCAGGCACACTCACACAGCCAGCCACAAACTCTCGGCTCATGCTTCCACCACCACATCTCTGCCTCTGCCTCATCTCCGAAGCCGCATCTCGCGGCCTCGCTGGCCTTCGTCTATGAACAGGCACCGTACTTGCGATGCTCTTATAA